TCAGAAAGCTGCTATGCATAAACATATTAAGTCCGAAAGGCTGTTTTTGAAACAGCTTTTGTTCAGAAAGGAGCCATTTCTTTCTGAATGTGGGTAACTGAAATTACCATGGTTGTTAAGATTATAATTTATTTCTGTTTAAAACCATGAATATTTATGGAGAAAGGAGGCTTTCTGAAACAAGGACAAGTCAAGAATTCCAGCTGGAATTTCCCACCTGAATTGAGTTTGGTGGGCAGGCACTCTGGTAAGTCCCCTTTGGTTTGGATCCAAAGCATAGTAAAAGGTCAGTAGAGAATACATTTCGATACAAATTCAGGTTCCTGGCTTTGTTGCACCTCATACTCTGCTCCAGCTCTACCATTATCTACATGATCTCTTCTCTAGCCTAACATCACTCAGCCTGACACCCAGATCATAAAAACCATCTTTGCATCATCGACTTCAACTAGTGCAAAAACTAAGGGCATGCCCTTAAGTGTTTGAACCATGCTCACATGTTGCAGAGTCTCTACACACGCATTATACCTCCTTTTCCTCTTCCCACTCCTCACAAATCTACTTCATCTCCTTCAAACTCATTCCTCTTCAAAATTCTAGAAGCACTCTTAAGAATTTTTCTTGGATTTGCTTAATGTATTTTATCTACCCTGTAATTCTTAACAGGAAAAAATTACATATGTGAAAGCGGTATCTTGGTTTGGGTCTATCACCAAAAAACTTCACAGAACACCGAAATGTGCGTAGAACTTGGGCTTATACAATTCACAACATTAAAAACCAGGGAATGTCTTCCTTTGCCAATCAGTGAGGCCAAAACATAAGTCAAAGTGAATCTCTCACTAAAGAAACCAACAGTTAGAAATGTTTATTTTTTCACATTCTGCTTTAGACACTAAGTCTACTCTAAAGGTCTTAGTCTAAAACTGACCTGTAGTAAAAAAATTTCACACCTTGCAATTATCTGGTAAAATACTGGGTTTTATTTTTCCACTTTCCCATTCTTCTGAAAATTTTTAATTATGGTTTGTAGTAACTTTTAGGAAATAAAAAAATAAAAAAAGAACAGTGATTCGGTAATTGAGAAAAATCCCTTGTTATTTTTCTTTATGTCTGGTAATTACTTTAAAGACAAATTTACTCGGGGGGGGGAGATATTTAGAAGTCAGACTCAAACTGCTTAATTGGCACATTTTTCAGGGTTTACTTGAACTAATTTTTTATCTGATTTGGCATCACCCTTAATTTTAATTTAGTTTCCTTTCTTTGCTTCTGGGAAGGTTCCCTCTGTTCCTGGCATGTTTCCCTGTCACTCTGATGAATACTGAGACAAAGAAATCTTTCCTTTCCCAGAAATAACTGCCTCATCTGTTGCTATTTTCCCTTCCTATCCCTTATGGAACACATGGCTCCTTTCTATGACCTCTTGCTGTGTACACATTCATGAGATCTTGTATTCACATCATCTACAAAATTTTCCAATTTTGGCAACAACTTTTCAATAAATGTTTTCTGTCTATCCTCATCTAGATAACGCAAAAGAAATGCGAAGTATTTTCATGAATCCTTTAAGTAAATCTGTTAAATGGTTTATTGAATTAAAAAAATGGCTTCCCATTTTCTTTTCATCCCTTTTAGCCGTACATTCATTTCCATATCAACAAACTTATACAGTTTCTGTTGCTCAGGTTTTTTTTTTTTTTTTTTTCTTATTTTGCTTCTTTCCTCATGGTTACATTCTTCATTTTTGGTCCCTACATGAGCACCAAAAAAATAAAATGAGCAAACGTGCATTTAAATTATCGTGTTTTGGCTGTGGGATCTAGACAGTGATTTACTCAACACTTTACAGTGGCCTGAAACTTAACCTTCTGCTGGACACTCATGATAAATAACTCTCAACCACACAAGAATTTTTGGAATTGTATTTTCCCTTCACATAATTTGCTCTTGGTTCAACACATTCCTATGCTACAGTCTTAATTTAGAGAGCAGCCCAAAACAGTTCTGTATATCCTCTGTATCAGAAACACTAAACAAAGAGACAGTGCATTTTTCCAACCTTCCACTTAGTATCTTAACTTTTGATTCAACATTTTAATTTAATCAAAGCAATGCAAATTAACTATTTTCTTAGAGAAATATTACATTTCAAACTTTTATATTAATAATTTTAATATTATAGAGGCAGTTGCAGAAAATTCTCTCTTAAAATTTTATTTAATCAATGAGGAAGGCCTAACAACTTACATTAAAAAAAGAGTCCCTGGAAAGTCCACAACGATGAAGTCTACATTAAATTCTATAGCACTCAAAGACTATATTTAGCATTATAAGGACCTAAAAATTGTGCTGCAGAGGTTGAAAATCAAATGGCACTAACATCTATTTAAATTATAGTAGTCTCTTCAGAAAAATCTACCTTCAAGTACTGTTTCCTTTCTGCATTTTCCATGCTGACTTTGGCTCTTGGAAATTAACTTAGTTAAACAGCACTGTGTTCCTCTTTCTTGATGGGAAATTCATGCCATTTTGAGTCTGAATTCTCATTTCACATGTAATCAGACATTTCATTTGGTACTAAGGTAACAGCATTCAGGATCTTTTCGAGTTAAGATAGTTAAGTTAGATTAACTATAAACAGCTAATAAAACCAACAGGTAAATGCTTCACGTGAAAACGTGAAACAAGGCCACACAAATGCTAAATAAGTTTATTTGAAGCTCGCACAACCTATTTTTTGCACTGGGAAAGATGGACAGAATTTCTCACAACTAATTTCCTTTACTGTTGACTGAAAATATGCAATGTATTAAAATAAGTCTTAGTGAGTAATTAGGATCACCGTGTCAACGACATGATATTCCATGAGATTAAAGTTGCAACTCAGAAAATGAGTGCTCTTTTTCTTGCCACTCTCAGCAGCCTTGCTTGTTTTGCATCTGGTTGCATGTTTAATTAGGAATCCTTCTGTAAGTGTCTGCAATTAGCACAATGATGATTAATAAAATAATGCCTTTAAAGCTCCATTTAGGCAGCAGAACTGCACAATCAGGTATAATTAATTCATCATTAATAAATCATAGCTGATTAACTAATCTGTTGATTACAAACACATTACTGCATAGTCTCCCACCTGAGCTCTGGTCATTTTTCTATCCTGAACAGAAATAGAGACTAAGTAGTAGTAAAATATATATATATATATAAAAAAAAAAAAAAGCACTAAGCAGCAAAGATATTGGTTTGGTCAGGAAACTTAGATAGCAAGTATATTTAAAATTTACTGGGCTTTGCTCATTATTAGTCCCCTTGAGTAAAAAAAAAAATAATTGTACTGTCTAGTTGTTAAATGTGGACGGGCGAACAATAATTGCTTCTTTAGTCCATCTATATTCTTAAGGAGGGTTTGTTGGGTTTTTTTTCCCCAAAGCATCTCAGATTATGGGGCAGATTCACTCTTTGCATAAGCCAGTAGGAAGTAATAAATGCAGCAAAACAAGCTTGCAATCTTGCTCCTCAAGAAGATCCAGGTCACTGGCCAAGAAAGAGATCAGTTTGCTTTGTGAGAAGGCACGGTCAAAGTGCTGTTAAATATGCCATTGCAACATTGCTGTTAAGCTGCCTCCATAGCCATGTCTTGCATCTGATGATGAGTCCATGTTTATAAACTATAATTCAGGTCCATGAACTTGAGCAAGAGTGAATATGGAAGAACAACATGCATTTCCATTTGGTGACTCCTTTTGCTTGCCACCTACCTCTTTGAGATTTGTAGTGCATTTAAATCATATTTGCAGTATGTTCTATGTAGGGGCAGAAGCTAGAAACTTCTATTTCAAATGAATCATAGGATTCTCACACTGTTATCTGCCTCCAGCTACTAAGGATTAAGATGTAAGATATGAGTTATGATAAAATTCAAAATAACTGGAAATAGGGGAGCTTGGCCCGACTAAGACCCTCATCATTTATAAAGGGCTGACATCCAGCTGTTCCCACAGTATGAAAATGCCTTTCAGTTCAAAATACTTCATGCTGAAATTTTGGGAAGAAAAAAAAAAACCCCACAACAAACAAACCTAAAGCAAAGCTTGGGACAAAAGTGATTTGAAAGGGAAAACAGTTTTAGCTAGAGTAACTGAAACAGTTCAATATTCCTAATAAATCCAGAGAAAGAAGAGAACACTAAAGGAAAAAGTGACAAAATCTGAAGCATTACGTTTCACAAAGAAAATTACAGAAGATTATTTTAATTTAGGAGCAAATTTTCAGTCTTTGAAAAGTACATTATATTGCTGTAACCGATAAAGCTTTCTTTCAGCTTTTAGCCAGTTTTATGTGCATCACTATGTCATTCTCCTAAATCTTTCTGCTAAAACTTTAATTAAAAATATTGACTAAGCAGCAGTACTACAAGCCACTGCAAATCTTTGAAAAATACTGTTCATAAAAGGGAATGATAAAGCACATTTCTAAACCATTTATATTTTTTCATATTTTATTTCAAGTAAATTAATGAGCATATAAGCATCATTTCAATACGCGGCAGAAAAAAAGATATATTTTTTTAAAAGGACTGTAGTTGGATTTCATGGAGAATGACTGAATATGGAAAAAGTTTGATTATTTTATCAATGAGAAAAGTTTAGAATTCAATC